CTAATTTTACAATTTGAATCTTTCACCTTTGTTTTCCGTTAATAGCATCGTGCATTTCATGTAATACTGTTCGCTAACTGCCAAGGAACAGAGCCATGCCTGTGTATCTCAGAATTTAATTTAATATATCTGTTTTACTTTATATACATGGGAAATCACGAATCGTGTTTAAGGTTGTTTTCTTTTTATTATCCTTGAATTTATGAAACTGACATCATAATTATTATTAATATACTTATTTTTTTTTTCATCTACCTAACTCGATATGCGTGTTTTTCGCCACTAGAAAGATGTGCACTGATTTTAAAATTTAAAAACTTACTTATCATTGCTTCATATCTTACTGAATAATCAGAGTTTTATGGAAGTTGCATTTTGAGTGCAACTTTAGATACGAAACCATATTGATATTTTGTAGAAAACCTGCATCTGCAATAATTTAACATAAATCCTGTATTTTCAAAACATTTTAATTCTTCTACAATGTTCTAGGAGAAAAACCAGTCAAAATGAAAAAATGTTCCCGTTGTAAAATAAATGTTCCAATGGGAAGAGAAATTGTTCCCATAGGAAGAAAAATTGTTCCCATGGTAAGAAAAACTGTTCCCATGGGAAGATCAATTGCTCCCATTGGTAAAGTTGAATTCCCATGGGAACAAATTATTTACTAATGTAAAAGTACTTTTTCCGATAGGAACTTTAAATTTTCCCATGGGAACTTCTAATATTCCCATGGGAATTTTTTTATTTCCAATGGGAAATGTACTTTTAATCAGCTGTAGTGACAACAGTGACAACAGTGACATGTTGGGACATATGGGGAAATTTATTTTTTTTATTATCTTTCACCTGACCAAAAAATATTTTTGATATCTTGTAAAACAACAAAGTCAGATTTGCCAATTCTGGAATGGCAAATTTGTCCTGCACAGTGTTGTATTCTATACACATTGATGTCAAATGCCGTATGTATGAGAGTTTTATGCTTTCAATACGTTATAGATTGCAACAACTTTTCGTGGTGTTCATACGTGGATCTGTCGCAGGGAAATATTTCTGTCCCTATCAAACATATATTTTTTTAGATGGTTGTCCAAATGTCCTGCCCTTCATTCCTGCCAACCCAGCACAACCTACTATGGCTTTATTATTAATATTTGTTAACATTCCAAATAAAGGGGTCTAGAAATATGGTCATGCCTGGATTTTTTCCACCCTTTAGTAATAAACTGGTTTAAGAGGAGCGTCTGTATGACTGTTTGTGATGTATAAATACGCAGTAGTAATATATGGACGTTTAATCCCATGCCTTTTTTAGGGAGAGTGTTACACTCTGCATACACGTTGAAGAACTCTATCAACAAGTCTTTCAAGGGTCCATAGGTTGTCTGTTGACAGACAAAATTTCTGCACATGTGTATCATGCCTTACTTTTCCCAGCTGTCGTCGAAAGTCCCACACTCCATCCTCGTCGACCAACACTGCACAATATATATATGAATTACTGTTAATTTGTCCGTCTTGAATATGCAAGACATATTTGTCACTAGAAGTTAAGCAAACAACAATCAAACCTGATAACATTCGACTATTGGCATCAGTAAATCGTTTGACTCACTAGAAATAAGGGTCACTGGTTTACTAGATATTTGTTTCATTGACAATCATACCACATCTCTTTATAGACAATAATAATGACTCGACGATCAACGAAATAAGGATGAGGCTTAGAAACAGGGAATGCGAGGCTCTGCCGAGCTTTTTCCTCGTTTCGGGCCGAATCCGTATATCGTTGATATGTCAAATACATGTGATCTTTGGAAACCAATCCGATGGTGAACGAATTCGTTTGGATATGGACTAAAATATCAGCAATAAGCATAAAACATAATGATTTATAGAATTTAAACAAAAAATATTAACAAGTGAAATACGTTTTTCCAACAATTGTAAAAGAAATAAGTTTGAGTCGTTCCACGCTTCGTTCATGTCGTTGTTTACATTGGAAACGAGGTCGTCATAGTGAATAATTAAATATAGTTCCGGCAACTACTATTTAAATATTCATGAGGAAAAGTGATATCGGGTCAGTGACTGTATATGACATAGAAATATATACAGTCAACGCATTTTGACTGCTCAAATAGAACGAGTGCAGTATTAATGTCTATATTAAGTTTACACGCACGGGTAATTTTGACAATTTATGATACAATTAAATATGGAAGCTCGGCGGGAAGCATTTGACAACTGAGGTAAAGTAGGATGTGCACATAAATAAACATTACGCACATGTGCACTGTGTATATCACATTTTTTAACGAAATGAGAATCAGTTTAACATCCTAAGATTATATTCGTTAAAACAAACTACAAACACCAAATTTATTGATTAACATTAATATTATCTTCGTCTAATTTTAATCCGTCTCCTTAGTGCTCTGCCTATATGTGGTCTACGTAACATTCGAGGACCTACTCGATAAGGGCTTCTGTGATTCCTTGGTAAAATCGTGTACGTGCCTAGCATACCAGCAGACATATGTACTCCTAAATGACAATGGACAAACCACGTTCCTGGGTTATCTGCAAACATTTCCACAGTTTCATAGGATCCTGGAACAACACCAACCACATCATCCCGGAAAGATAATGCCGAAGTTTTTATAAAAGTTTGTCCATGAAAATGATTTGAATGTGCACCTTGGGAGGAACCAAATGAGTACGTGTACCATGCTATTGTATCACCTACTACCATTTCTAGGTTCGGTATGTTAGAAAAAATAAATCCATTAATACTAAACTTATTATTAGATTGTTGGAAAATTGAGTCATCCAGATTCGTTCTGTTTGGTGCTCTCATTCGTACATTCTCGTCAAAGTAATGGCTATTAGCTTCATTGAATATAACAAAAGCTAACGCAAATTCTCTATTTGTTTTGTCCATTCTGTTGCCGTAAACATCCAAAACACCTCTTTTACAAATAAGTAGCGGTCCAATCAGACCCGTTGCAATATCTTTATTAGGGTAAACAGGCGAATTATATGTATATCCAACACAGTTAGGCTCATTTTTGCCAGGACCGGATCTTTCTGGAACTCGCCATCTGTAAATTTTCATATCTCCTGGTTTTACACCATTTCTTAACTCTTTAGACATTTCATTATCCAGTGGTAGATTCTTTAAATATATAGAATTATCAAAAGACGCCATATTTTTGAAAAATACTTCAATGACGTCTCCAACTGCTGCCTTAATGAAAGGCCCGAGTATTCCGAGATGGTTATCTTTTTCTGTACGCTGTACCTGTCTTGAGAATGATGCATCATAGAACTCCCTGTACACAGTCTTTTTATACTGTGTGCCAATAAACATGTCAGTGTTACGAACATAAAGATTACCCGGTCTAAAATAAAAACATCATGTTAAACAGTGTGTAGCATCACCACCGGATCAAGTTACCCCCGAAGTGGTGGAAAAAACAAATGTGAAGTCCGGTCAAATTCTTCTTATTTTCATTATATTCTACGTTTTGTTAACAAATACAAATTTTGTGATAGTGATTCTTGATAGTGTAGCTACTATTTAGGGCTGGTTATGATCCTTAATTGGCTGTCTCTCTCTTCAAATCGTCAGACTAGGATAGGTGGGGGTACCTGTTCAACGAGTTGTGACGAGTTCAAAACACATTTATCTTTTAAGTATTCATTTGACGTTTTCGTACAACAAAGGTATATCATATTTAAGCTTGAAAAACACTGTATTTCGAAATAAACTATTGTTTATACTAAGAAATTCATGTAAATAAAGCGGATAAATTGTACGGCGAATAGTTGTTAGTTGTTTATTGTATGGGGATTGGAAAAGATACTATTAGCTATAATAGTATTGTTTCTTTGCTCCTGATGTACCGATATCCGGTGGTGATGCTACACAGGGTTAAAGTACAATTGACATTCTTGAAAAATAGTCAAAATCACAAATAATCGGTGACTGAATAGGCAAACAGAGTTATGAACGCGGTATTGTTTCCATATATGATTGTTTCTCATTAAATCGTCATTGTGTTATCTAATTAACATTGTTTGATTTGTGTTTTTCCAAATAGATTGTTATTTTTAACATATGTGACGGGTCTCCTGGGATCTAAGATAGCAATATCTGTAACCGTAACATATCAGTCATTATATTATATAATATTCTACTCTAATAATTATAGTTTCTGGACATCTTCACTGTGTCTAAACTACCCCGGCAAAAAATGATTGGACTCAATAGTATCTAATATCCGGTACGGAGAAATAAGTAAAAAGGCGCATCAAAAATGGTGAATTGAGTGAACCTTGCCTCGAATTAGTTTAATTTCTCTTTAAATTGTTCACATTGTACGGAAAGAAAGACATTAACACGGAGATTGTAAGACTAGTCACTATGAGCACCTCACTATTTGTATTTCTGTGCATGGAACGAAAGAAATGGGTCATGTCAAAATGAAAGGACCCGGTTTTGTCAATGTATACAACCCGGTTTCGTCTTAAAATTTCACAAAGCAGACCCGGTTTTGTCATAGAAAATAATGCATAATCGCATGACGTATATTAAAATCTGGCGTACAACTGGAGTTTGAGGGCTCGTTGAAAAAAGATTTCTTTCAGAGGATAACTTATTATTTATTTGAATCCGTAAACACTTGAATTCTTGCTTTATTGGAACAAAAATAATTTTGATCTTGCTTTGTATAAAAACAAATACTTTAACGGGGAAATACAAAGAAATGAAGGTTTTGTAACGAGATTTGTTTATTTTTATATCAATTATGTAAGTGTTCAAAATTGGACAGTGCCTTGAAAAATGAAGGACGGACATTTGATATGTGATTTTCAGGGACAACAAGATGATTTTCTTAATAAATATTTCACTCTACCTACTTTAATGCACATGTATAGGTTTCTCAATCCATTTATCAGTTTCAATAGACCGATGATATCGTCCTACTTACGTATTTGGATCTCTTAGATCCCCCATTGTCACAATGTTTAATTTTCTCGGTGCATAATCCCAGATGACATCTACAGCTGCTATATAAATCCTGCGAATTACAGTCTTCTCAAAGACAGGACCAGACACGAACAGAGGGCGATTACATGTGTCTACATTATATCTAGTTACCATGCCGTCTGTCTGAGATTCTAACTGACCAGCATGGAGAAGCCAATTTCCTATAAATACAAAGAAACGGAAAATTCAAAAATTAATTTAAAACTTATTAAAGCCATAATACCAGACTTATAATTTGGTATGCAGGACTAACAATTATCATAGCCACTCAATTCAAAACAGTTGGAAGACAAAATGACTTAAGTCGTTGTAAGCGCAAATCATAGTCTCCTGCCTGCAGAAGAGAGGCGAAAGATACCAAAGGGACATTCAAACTCATAAGTCGAAAATAAACTGACAACGCCATGGCTAAAAAAGAAAAAGACCAACAGACAAACAACAGTACACAAACACAACATAGAAAACTAAAGACTGAGCAACACGAACCCCACCAAAAACTGGGGGTGATCTCGGCTGCTCCGGAAGGGTAAGCAGATCCTGCTCCACATGTGGCACCCGTCGTGTTGCTCATGTTAGTACAAACCCGGTAATAAGTCTAATTCTTATGTGCAAAATTCTTATGGCATGATTCCATTATTTGTCTCGGTAATATGGAAACGCAAATATGTTTTACTTATTTAAATGTGGGTAGAGATTCAACAAAATGTTTCACGATGAAAAGAAAAAAAAATCATGCATAGTCCGTAAGTCGTCAAATCTAGCGTCAAGAAATTCGTGCGATGTCAATAATGCGGTATGTTCAATTGTCTCAGGTAAGTCACGTATTGAATTTTTGTAATCAGAATTAAAGTATGGTACACATTAATAATAATAATAATAATAATAATAATAATAATTTGATAAAAAAAAATCAACAAAATGTGTGTTGCGTTTTTAAAGTCCGTGAGCATATAATAACTATTCAATGGAAAATAACTGTGTAGATAGGGATAACAGAATGTCAGAAATCGATAAGTTAAAATTGATTGAAAAGTGAAACAATATAAGAATAGAACAAACAAATTCTATTAAAAACCAATGTGTCAACAAAGGTAACGTTTTACAATTGTTTACTAAAACTATCATATAATATACTTAATAGGAAACACGGTTAAATTATCCAATGAAAAACAGTCATTTGGAAAACAAATGCAAGTGATTTAGAATAATTCAATTGCTCAATCTTTAATTTTCTATGTAGCGTTTTGTTGGCTGTTATTTGTCTTTTTGCAGTTTTTTTACCATGGGTTTGTCTGACAGTTTTCAGCTAATGGTTTGTGATGCCCTTTAAGTAATGGCAGTGTAGTTAAAAAAAAAGAAAAATAAAATTACCTGGGTTATCTGGAGTCATATAAGCAGTCTGACTAGTTCCAGGGAAAACAGTCACATGATCGACCATTCGGCCATCATATTGGACATTGTTTCCTTCAAACACTGGATTCTGGTAATCAAATCTTTCACCAAAGCCAAGAACATGCCAAGATACTCTGTCTCCAATACACATGTCAAAACCGCCAATGTTCCCGAAAACTCGACCGTTTATTGCTGTGATAAAATATAATGCATGCAAAGAGTGTAAAGCATTATTAGAGAGACATACAAACGTACAATGTTAAATGTAAAGATATTTGATGATTAAGCTAACGTCACAGTACCCAAATTGCACCGAGTACCCAAATTGCACCTATTTAGCAAAAATAGCAGCGAAAATCTTACAAGTTTTCTTAGGGACTAAGCAATTTGTATTTTTTATCATTTGACATTATGCGGGTCTTTCAAATAGGTAGATATATTTAAATATTCACAAAAAGTTCACAGTATATATCAACAGATAAAGTGTTTACTAGAAAAAGTAAAATGTACGAAAACGTCGCCATGCGACGTACACAAAAAGTCATCTTTTAAAATTGAGCAAATACAATATGTTGCAGGCATCCATTTCTTAAAAAATGAATAGTAAGCATGGACTATTGTCAAATTGTTCTAAATGTTTGAAGAAATAAAACAAAACATCAGTCATTTGATTTTTACGGATGTGAATTTAAGCATGGATGCAATTTGGGTACTCCTCATTACAGAATCATGGATCGTTTGGAGGTCGGTTCAAACCAATTTTTCTATGCTTCATTATGGATTCAAAATTGAATTGGTGGGACTTTATAGTAAATAAGGATACATCTACATTAACAAAATAAATATAAGATGGACACTTTTGTCTGGTTCATAAAAAAGCGTAGGTGAAAAAACTGCCAAGATAGGTGCAATTTGGGTGCCCTCACGTTAGATGGATACCGAGTAGTGACGATGTTTTGAATTTAGGAACAAAAAATGTTTAGACAGTAACATGTGATTGAAGAAGTATGAAGTAACAAAATCGATCCCATTATAGCGGATGTTTTTAAGATGTGACGTCCTCATGGACGCTGTGTCATTGCCGTTTTCCTATGACTTCGTATGTCGTATGTCGTAGTAAGACGCGTAGTATGCTTGGTGGAACTAGATCGTCATTTGCTGATAACGTTTATGACACATTAATGACATCAGATATTTGATGAAACGGCATACTGTTATTAAGTCATCACAAATGATTAGTTGTCTCATTGGCACTCATACCACATCTTCTTATATCTAGATACCACAATCAATGAAATAATGATCTATTTCTTCTGTCCTGCTCTACCATTCTGCATTGCAAACTTGAAGGCTAGTATACATTAAATCAAAGTGGTGTCATGCATCATAGTTATATGTTTATAATCTAGATACCAACCTCTTAAAGCGTTTACATCTCTAAACATATCGTTTTCTTGGTCAACTATTTTTCACACGATGTTTATAATCGGGATACATACCTCTGAAAGCGTTTACATCTCTAAACATATTGTTTTCTTGGTCAACCATTTTACAAACGACGTTTATAATTGAGATACATACCTCTTAAAGCGTTCACATCTCTTAACATATTGCTGTCTTGGTCAATGGTTTTACCATTCAGCATGGCCAAGGATATACTTTGATTAAAGTACCAGCTATCTTGTTCAAACCAGTTCATCAACATTAGGAAAAGTTCTTTGTTTACACCATGCTTTGAATCAAATGAAAATTAAATTGACAAATCATATTCATTTGATCTGGGGCGGTTTGATGTATAAACAATATAATCGTCAAACATCATTACCATTAAACAAAGGGCTTTCTACTTCTTGATGTATTGTATAGACACTACTGTCAAACACCATTGCTATTAGACAAGGGGCTTTCTTGATGTACTGTATAAATCTATTGTCGCACAAATACTATTATACGTGGGCTTTCTATTAGTTCATGTATTGTATAGACACTATTGTCAAATACCATAACTATTAGACATGGGGCTTTCTATTTGATCATGTATTGTATAGACACTATTGTCAAATACCATAACTATTAGACATGGGGCTTTCTATTTGTTCATGTATTGTATAAACACTATTGTCAAACACTATAACCATTAGACATTGGGCTTTCTATTTGTTGATGAATTGTATCAACACTATTGTCAAATATATTACCATTAGACATTGGGCTTTGTTCTTGTTCATGTATTGTATAGACACTATTGTCAAACACTATAACCATTAGACATTGGGCTTTCTATTTGTTGATGAATTGTATCAACACTATTGTCAAACACCATTACCATTAGACATTGTGCTTTCTATTTGTTCATGTATTGTATAGACACTATTGTCAAATACCATAACTATTGAACATGGGGCTTTCTATTTATTTATTGAATAGACACTATTGTCAAACACCATTACCATTAGACATGGGACTTTCTACTTGTTCATGTATTGTATGAACACTATTGCAAAACACCATAACTATTAGACATGAGGCTTTCTATTTCTTGTTGTTTATAACCGACTAAAACAATATAGCTAGTATACAGCAACCAACCACACCCAATGATTTGACTCCTGGCTTTCGACAGACTCATTCAGAATGTGGAGGTAATAAAAACATATTTCTAATCGCTCAATCCTCATGTAACCTAGGGCGGTTGAGGAAAAGCACAACTTGGGCAAACTATATAAATCAGTTGTTAAAGACTTGACTCATCAGATCGACAACAAGAACAAAAGCTACTAACGAAAAGAGTACATACACAAAGTACTGACCGAAGACTTCATACACAAAGTACTGATCGAAGATTACATACACAAAGTACTGATCGAAGACTACATACACAAAGTACTGATCGAAGACTACATACACAAAGTACTGATCGAAGACTACATACACAAAGTACTGATCGAAGATTACATACACAAATTACTGACCGAAGATTACATACACAAAGTACTGATAGAAGACTACATACACAAAGTACTGATCGAAGATTACATACACAAAGTACTGATCAAAGATTACATACACAAAGTACTGATCGAAGACTACATATATGAAGTACTGATCGAAGACTACATACACAAAGTACTGATCGAAGACTACATATATGAAGTACTGATCGAAGACTACATACACAAAGTACTGATCGAAGACTACATATATGAAGTACTGATCGAAGACTTCTCAAAATTACTGAAAGATTGTTACTAGCCAATTACAACTAATAAATAAATCATGTTTTTTGAGGCTCAAATCAATCAGTGCACATCCAATGGATTTAGTGAGAAGATGTCATTAACAGTCTGAGAAAAACACGACCTTATGCAATGCCTAAATATAAGTATTGGCAGGATGTAGGATCGAAAGTTTTCATTACTGTATCAAAACAATACAAGACTAGTATTTGATAGTATAGAAATAAAAGAACGGAACTTGAAAAGCAGAAAAAATTATCGGTCCGTGTCCTTGATTTTGAGATATTATCAATTGAAAATTTGGCGGGAAAATATTCTCTCTAGATTTTTCATTCGTTCATTAACATTGGCACCTTTTTTCTTTCAAAAACTATGTAAAAATAACAAGGATTTTATAAGATTTTGAAAAATGGCTTTTTTAAACTTCATGTAATAAAATTATAAAAAAAAGTAGGGGTAAGTGGGCAAAATTTTTATAGGCATTACATGGATAAAACCAGAGGATTCCGAATATCTGACAAAAAGTCACTAACAAGAGTAGCGAACATCCTTTCATCATGACATAATGTATAAGACGTTGGTATAGGTGCTGTCTTGATATAACCTGGAGAGGGTATATTAGACCATATACCCTATGAACAAAACATAAGATCAGAATTGTAAATAATGCGAAAATCACTGCAGCATAATATAATTGTTATTCGGGCTTCACAGGAGATATTCGCTACATAATCACCAATTACATGAACCGATTATCAGGTTGTCTGCATAATGATATTTTACAATATAAACATGCTGACAACCAGATAATGGATTTATCGGGTTGTAATTGCGTATTATGAATGATAGCAATAAGTGTTTTCTTTGTTTCACCAGAAAACCTGAAGATGAATTGATAACTTCGGATCAATCTTGTTAACGTCGGTGAATTCCTTATGACGTCGGTTATACATGTATGTCCAGGTCAAAGTTATTAAGGCCGGGGAAACGTATTTGACGTCACAAAAACGTGATATTTACCGATTATCAGGTTGTCTGCATATTGATATTATAAGTTATATGGTTCGCTACTGACCCCCTACGGATCCATAGAGGGTTAGTAAAATCCATAGGGGATGAGGCCGAAGGCAGAATCTCTTATGTATTTTACCCACCCACTATGGTCCGTAGGGGGTCCGTAGTGAACCGTATAACAAATTTATCGCACACGGGACTTTTCATGCAGCGTTTTGTAGAAAAAGAAATAATGAAAAACAACAAAATTAATAGATGACGTCACCATTAACAGTAGACGTGACGTCATGAACCCCCTATGAAATTTACTAATCCCCTACGGATCCATAGGAGGTCACCACGTGACGGCTGTAAACCAATCACAACGTCATAATTTACCCGCGGTGCGATAATGTAAAATATCAGCTGCGAGTCACAATATGAAGTTTTTTGTCGAGTGAGCACAGCGAACGAGTTCGAAAAGGATTCATATTGTGTTGAGAAGCTGATATTTTACAATATCAATATGCAGACAACCTGATAATCGATTTATTGGATTGTATTTGTGTACTTGCATGATAGAGACAAGTGTTTTTCTTTGTTCCACCAGCAAACCAGATGACGTTATAAATTTGGGTCAAGCTTATCAACGTCGGTTCATTCATTATGACGTCGGTGATATGTCCGGGTCAAAGTTAGGTTTGTTAGTTTTCTTCCCGAAGGTTGGTGATTCTCTCTGTGCACTCCGTCTTCCTTTACAAATAAAAACTGACCACCACGAACTAGCAAAGAGTGCTGAAAGTGGCGTTTAACACCAATAACCAAATCAATATTTATCATGAAAAGGTTTTGCCAAAGTTTCATAAAATTCCATAAAGGTTTTTCAAAATTATTGTTGTCTAGAAAAAAAATTAACCACAGACTAAACCTAAATATTGACGACGCCGACTCTGAAGACGGAATCTAGATCGCTGTGTCTCACTTCCGCGACAAAAAAAAAAAGCATACGACTTGTACTTTATTGTCAGCAAATAAGACGCTTATTTGGGGATAGGGTCGCACTAAGAGAGATAAAGCAACAATTCTATATAATAAAATAAAAAATCTCTAATTTTTTGTTTGCGTGTATGATCATTTGAATATACACGAATATCAATCTTTTATTTTTTCTAAATTGCATTCTTTGGTATACCTCACACTATCTTGAAAGGTAACTTTTTGGAATATATGTTTCACAGATGACGATTTAGCTATTATATGATCCGAGACACATAAAACAAACTACATTGAAATCGGTTTAAAAATAGAAAATACTTTTCCAAAATGGTCACGTGGCTTTACTTCCTCACACATCAAAGAATGACAAAACCACTTCAAATACTGGAACAAACACACCATGTACATAGTGTAAATTTGTCAAACTTTGAAACATCATTATGTTATGCCCTATAAACAATTGACAAATCATCATTACTCAAACGTTTGAACTTTAATTCACTCAGCCAATGAAATCGGTTTACAAATAGAAAATATTTTTCCAAAAAGGTCACGTGGTTTTACCTCATCAAGTATGGTGGTGACCACATCAAAGAATGACAAAACCACATCAAATTCGATCAAAATTTGAAACGTCATTATGTAATGTTAAAGCCATGAATTGAAAAATCATCATATACCAACCGAAACAGGAAAAAAAGACAGAAATTGTTTTGCTTGTAAGTTAGGTACTTTTAAATGATTACGTATGTAATTTAGAGTTATTGATAGTGGGTCTGATTTTTTGTGGTTGCTCGGTTTCCTGATACTCTGTACTGAAATGTAAATCGATACTGAAAACTCCGTAGAAATATGTTATACATACGAAGAGGGGCCTGATGGGTTATTTTCGTTCTTCGTGATCGGCGCATTTTCGCTATCGTGATCCGTTTTTCTACAGATTTATTTTTTTTTATATTTTCGTGATCCGTAATCATGGAAATTTGTTTTCTGTGAATCGTGATTGACAAAAAAATCAACTCGTGAATCGTGATGAGACCCCCCATCAGGCCCCTCATACGAAGTCCCTACGAATACTATAATGATGGTCTCTCATAAGATAATTTGTTTGTTGGTCGGTGGTGCTGGTCTAAGAATAATAGAATAAAACTAGAATATCATAACACAGTTTATAGACTTAAAATTAAGTGAAAATTTTGTTGGAATAAATAAGCATAATTATGTCCATATAAATGCCTTAATCACCCTGTATGTACCAGGTGAGCAATACACAATCCCTTTTGTTTCTATGTAAGAAAAAGCGCTTTTCTACCTTTACATTCTTCACCAACCAAATGTTGCATGAAAAAGAAGATACATATAACGTTGAATGTCAAAAGTACGAAATGCAATAATTAATTCTGCGGAAACAGGTCGTATGTTTTCATGATAAGTTAACTTGTGTTTCCTGGATATAAAGCGTAAATATAACATATAGGCGTCACTTTCCGGAAAATTCAATAGCTAACATTGCATGTTCTAAAGGTCAATTATTTCAAAGATGTGACTAACTTGGAAAAAAAGGCTTCATCAAATTTCTTTTTTATTCGTGGAATCGCCTTTAAAGTATTGAAGCGTATAACTCATATTATTAAAAGAAATTTACATAATTCCATAGAATCGGGAAGTTATTACTCCTATACTAGTCCGAGATTGCTCTGACGTCCAACGGCTGTTTTGCCGGTCAAGCTGGGGTCGTGGGACATCAGAGCTCGTCCCATGTCAAAAGTGGATATTTGCCCGTCCAAAATGGATGCGCCGCTTCGTTGCTTCTGGAGTCGACTGACGGCCTTGGATCCATATAAATCGGGCCTCAATTTGTTCATTCTTCATTTTTATCTCTGCATTGATGTAAGTTTCATCTACCTGTCACACTTTATTTTCTCATATTTGGACAGTTTTCACAATGACCCACCGATTCCGGCAATAAACGACAACCACTGAATTACATGCTCCTGACTAGGGACAGGCACACATACTATTAGTTACATAGTGTGCTAATGACCTAATACGATATATATGGGGTCAGTAAATTTCATATGGGGTGAGAGCGAAGTTCGAATCCCTGTATAGAATTTACTGACCCCATATTTATCGTATTAGGTCACTAGCACACTATGTAACGAATTTATCTTACCGACTATCTTAACATGTGGTATTTAGACTAGTGGCCTATCAAAGTGATCAAGTCTTCAATACCTTTAATATTAAGAACCTATATTTCCAATTGGTCTATACAAAAACAAATGCCAACAGTAACAAATTGTTAGCTTTAAATGTGTTTTATGAATTTATTTCAATAGTTCATCATCAATTTCTTCGTCTGTTGAAACCTTTAAGATTTTTCCTCAACACCGTGTTGTTTTTATAAAGGGACGTAACACCACTACTAACCGTGTATTGATATAAGCCCCGCCTACTAACCCAATAAGGAATATACACGGTCTCCACGCGGTTGCTTTTAACCAATCATATTCCTAGAAATGTATAGGAGGTAAGATAAATAATGTGTCGTGGTTAAACTAGTTTGAAATTTATTTCCCGTGCCTGATGGAGATATTACGCATTATTTTACCTCATATATACATTTCTTGGAACATCATTTGTTAAAAGCTACCGCGTGGAGACCGTGTATATTTCATGGGGTTAGTAGGCGGGGCTTATTCCGCTAATACACGGTTAGTAGCGGTGTTATACCTCACTTTATAAAAATAACACGGCGTTGATGAAAAATCTAAAACGTTTCAACAAATATAGAAATTGATGATGAACGATTGAAATAAATGCTGAAAACACAAGTTGTTATTGTTGGCATTTGTTTTTGTATAGACCAATAAAAGTAGTTTCTTTATTTTGAAGACTTCATCACTTTGATAGGCCACTAGTCTAAATGCCACATGTTAAGATAGTCGGTAAGATAAATTCGTTACACAGTGTGCTAGTGACCTAATAAGGTATATATGATGTCAGTAAATTCCATATGGTTCGCTCTCATCCCATATGGAATTTACTGACCCCATATATTTCGTATTAGGTCACTACCACACTATGTAACTAATGATATAAGTTAACCTTTTATTCCCTTTCAGTGCCATATATCCCCTTCGCCTAACAGATCAGAAGATATAAAGCTCTGACAGGGAATATAAGCCAATATCTAGTGTGAAGAGCGGACAATGAGATATAAAACACTGACAGGAAATATGAGCCCACATTCACCTTGAAGTGCGACTCCGGAGATATAAAACATTGACAGGGAATATGCACCAATATCCTTTGTGAAGGGTTGACCAGGAGGTATAAAACACTAGTAGGGAATATGCACCAATATCCCTTGTGAAGGTGGGACCAGGATATACAAAGTAATGATAGGGAATATTAACCCGTATCCCCTGTGACGGGTTGACCAGGAGGTATAAAACACTAGTAGGGAATATGCACCAATATCCTTTGTGAATGTGGGACCAGGATATACAAAGTAATGATAGGGAATATTAGCCCGTATCCCCTGTGACGGGTTGACCAGGAGGTATAAAACACTAGTAGGGAATATGCGCCAATATCCCTTGTAAAGGTGGGACCAGGATATACAAAGTAATGATAGGGAATATTAGCCCATATCCCCTGTGAAAATCCCGAATACTATACAATATAACCACCGACATATTACACTATACAAAATTTCTTACCTGCCTTCCACGGGCATTTAAAGTGCCTGGTTTACAAATAAGGAGTGGTCCGACCAAACCAGAATACTGGTCCTTAGCATAATCAACAAATGATTGGTACGTTTCTGTAACACATTGTGGATCTTCTTTTGTAGGTCCATAATCCCATGGTACAGTAAAAATATAGCGACGCTGTTGTCCAGGCATTGCTGCGGCACCGGAGACTTCGCTGCCTATATGTGAGAGATAAACGGTTAGTACAGATATATCTGCAGTCTGTATGTCAATACGGTTAATACAGATAAAATTGAGAATGGAAATATCTGTCGCCTGTTTGTCGTTAAAGTTAATACAGAGATATCTGCCGTCTGTATGTCGTTACGGTTAATACAGAGATACCTGTCGTCTGTATGTCATTACGGTTAATACAGAGATATCTGCCTTCTGTATGTCATTACGGTTAATACAGAGATATATGCCGTCTGTATGTCATCCCGGTTAATACAGAGACATCTGCCGTCTGCATGTCGTTACGGTTAATACAGAGATACCTGTCGTATGTATGTCATTACGGTTAATACAGAGATATCTACCATCTGTATGCCATGACGGTTAAAACAGAGATACCTGTCGTCTGTTTGTCATTACGGTTAGTACAGAGATACCTGTCGTCTGTATGTCATTACGGTTGATACAGATATATCTACGGTCTGTATGCGATGACGGATAATACAGAGATACTTATCGTCTGTTTGTCGTTACGGTTTATACAGAGATATCTTTTAACTGTTTGTCGTTACGGGTAATACAGAGATACCTATTGTCTGTTTGTCGTTACGGTTAATACAGAGATATCTGCCGTCTGTATGTCGTTACGGTTAATACAGAGATATCTGCCGTCTATATGTCGTTATGGTTAATACAGAGATATCTGCCGTCTGTTTGTCGTTACGGTTAATACAGAGATATCTGCCGTCTATATGTCGTTATGGTTAATACAGAGATATCTGCCGTCTGTTTGTCATTAAGGTTAATGCAGAGATACCTGTCGTCTGTATGTCATTACGGTTAATACAGAGATATATGCCGTCTGTATGTCATCCCGGTATATACAGAGACATCTGCCGTCTGCATGTCGTTACGGTTAATACAGATATACCTGTCGTATGTATGTCATTACGGTTAATACAGAGATATCTATCGTCTGTATGCCATGACGGTTAAAACAGAGATACCTGTCGTCTGTTTGTCATTACGGTTAGTACAGAGATACCTGTCGTCTGTATGCCATTACGGTTTATACAGAGATACTTATCTCGTGTTTGTCGTTACGGTTAATACAGAGATACCTGTCGTCTGTATGTCATTAAGATTTATACAGAGATACCTGTCGTATGCATGGCATTACGGTTGATACAGATATATCAACCGTCTGTATGCCATGACGGTTAATACAGATATACCTGTCGTCTGTTTGTCGTTGCGGTTAATACAGAGATACCTATTGTATGTTTGTCGTTACGGATAATACAGAGACATCTGCCGTCTGTATGTCGTTATGGTTAATACAGATATATCTGCCGTCTGTTTGTCGTTACGGTTAATACAGAGATACATATTGTCTGTTTGTCATTACGGTTAATACAGAGATATCTATTGTCTGTTTGTCATTATGGTTAATACAGAGATATATGTCGTCTGTTTGTCGTTACGGTTAATACAGAGATATCTGTCGTCTGTTTGTCGTTACGGTTTATACAAAGATATCTTTGAACTGTTTGTCGTTACGGGTAATACAGAGATACCTATTGTCTGTTTGTCGTTTTAATACAGAGATATCTGCCGTCTGTATGTCGTTACGGTTAATACAGATATATCTGCCGTCTATATGTCGTTATGGTTAATACAGAGATATCTGCCGTCTGTTTGTCGTTACGGTTAATACAGAGATATCTGCCGTCTATATGTCGTTATGGTTAATACAGAGATATCTGCCGTCTGTTTGTCGTTACGGTTAATACAAAGATGCCTGTCGTCTGTATGTCATTTTATAGAATAATTCAAAAGCTGAAATTGAAATGGCAGCATCTTAACATCTAAACTTCATGGAAATTGGATGTGTTTTTTTTTACTGAATAACTTTATGTTGTTCCAATTAAACTGGTTTATATATTTTCTTTCAGAACGACAAGTTTTTCTTTTTAAGAATCAACCCGGACGATACCAAGTTTCAATGAAATTTGCTTCAAGGCAAGATATGTACATGTATCACGATTTCAGCTCTTTTCGTGTCAGTTCTGAATTTATTATACCTATACCTTTTACTCTATCAAATGATAAAATGACCAAATATTTTAATTTCTATAGAATAACAGCAACGTACTTTTAGATAGGGTTGAGTTTTTTTGGTAGGGGGTTATATTCTGACTAATTTCTCTGTTTAAAAAAATGTATTGCCATTCAAAAGTGAAGAAAAGAATAATTCTGAACAACTCATTAAAAACTGTTGAAAAAATAATCTGCTTTTTCGCGATAAACTGTTTCGAAAATAAAAGAGAAGAAAAAAAACCCAAAGCAACCCCTTTTTTAAGTTGACAATTGATTATTTACAAAGTGGCTTGTATTTTTCATACACCGTGACAATTCATTTGTGTTTGGCTTCATGCAGTTACAGTGATATTTCTATCGTAACTGGATAATGATTGCTAAAGCTTAGATCTAGATATATCCCATTTTAGTGTGGTCGGTAAAATAGGATGGAAAACCTGCAAATCTTTGCAGAAAATAATATTTTTTGACGGTATATAAGTTAGATAATGCATATTTTAAGGGTTTTCTTGCCGTATAACACACCTTGGGGTGTCAGGATTGCTCAAACGACAAGAGAAACCTTAAAATATGCATTATCTCCCTACGGTCGGTCTTTCATTCGATCAATAATGACACCCCCTCGGTGTGTTATACGACAAGAAAAACCTTAGTATATGTAAGAGAATGATAATCCCTTTCTTCATAATTAAGTAAGAGCGTTAGCGAGTACTTATCATGAAGAAAGGGATTATCATTCTCTTACAAACTTAGAATATTGTAAAGTGCTCAAGGCTCAAATGATCTCTTGGTCGGTTGTATTCAAGAATTAGTTTCATTGTCAGCGCAATGTTTGTAATTAATGCATGACTTACTTTTAGGACATTTCATTTATGAATTAGTTTTAGTGATGTAAGGACTTTTTTATAATTTTGAACAAAAAAAATGTGTTTTAGACATTAGCTGACACAACAGAAAAATGATACGGTAAGAAATGTTTCCTGATTGTGAGAATGAATGTGAACGAATTGTGAACTTTCCATTTCTATGTAGCAACATTCCAGCAGCGCCTGCGTACGGAGTATATATCTCCCAATTGATACGATATTCCCGGACTTGTATTTCCTATCATAATTTCCTTGATAGAGGGTTGTTGCTCGCAAGGAAGCTATTAAACCAAGAGTTCCAAATGGTGAAGTTGAAATCATCCCTTCGTAAATTTTACGGACGCCATCACGAGTTGGTTGACCGTTATGGAATAACCGTTTCACAGATGATATCGGATATGTTCCTTATATCCTAATTACAATCCACTTCCTTTTACACCACGAATGTGACCTAACGAATAAGACTATTTACCGGATTTGTAATAACACGAGCAACACGACGGGTGCCACATGTGGAGCAGGATCTGCTTACCCTTCCGGAGCACCTGAGATCACCCCCAGTTTTTGGTGGGGTTCGTGTTGCTTAGTTTTTAGTTTTCTATGTTGTGTCTTGTGTACTATTATTTGTCTGTCTTTTTATTTTTTAGCCAAGGCGATGTCAGTTTATTTTCGATCTATGAGTTTGACTGTCCCTCTGGTATCTTTCGCCCCTCTTTTAATCATGTAATATTATAGCGAGAAATTATCTTTTTGTTTATTTACAGTTCAAATCAATAAATTCAAAACTTGAGTTACAACTAAATTTCATTTTACAGCCAATATTTTAGTCCAGCCCTTTTACCTCAAATATTACTTCATTATGCCAGGGAAATACAATGCCTTTAAAAGTTTAAAATATATATTCAAAAGTTAAAATAAATTCCTTTATTTTGAATTATATCCGAATATTGGAAATTACTATTCTCACAAACCGCGGATCTAGTAATCTGAGTTTTTGCATTACTTTGGTTTTTTTTTTTTTTTAGTAATTTGAAGTTATTAATATTCTCATAATAACGTTAACGGTACCAATGTTACTACACCAGTACACTTCATCTTATTTTGATTTTGTTTGTTTCAAAATTCAACTTTAAGTCAGTTTCGATCATAAATTCTTTCAAGCTGATAAATGTGCTTCGGGGTAGTTGTAACTCATGTATACAAACTTTTTGTTTGAACTGTTAGTAGGCCTAAACAATAGGATAATCCCTTACTAAAGAACATGATTTCATTCTTTCTTCACAATTAAGAAACACCAAATCCTTCAATTTCATTGGTCAAGAGCACTTTGCTATATTCTAAAAATATGCATCATCTCTAACCTAATCATACAATTCAACGTGTTATCTATGCAAAATAATGATAAAACCATGACGACTGACTAACATTCAAAGTGACAATGCTGATACAACTGAATACCTAATATCATCGAATTACTTAAACTTAAGACGGATTTACTGAAGCATATAAAAAAAGTGTTGACGCCGATGGCCCCCTCTCCCCCGGCTAACATCGAGCCTAAATTTCATTTTAGCGACTTCAACGCATGCTAAATATGAAATAAAATAAAAGCAGATCTAGATCTAGAGGTCAATACTTATAGAATAATCTACATTTGACGGATGATTGATGATGTCTTCGTCTATAAATGAACCACTAATTTAAAAGATATCAGATTATAATGTAACATATATCATACTTAACAGGTATCAAATTATAATTCAACAGATATCAGATTATAATTTCACAAATATCAGATTATAATGTAACATATATCAGATTATAATTCAACAGATATCAGATTATAATTTAACAGATATCAGATTATAATTTAACAGATTATAATTCAACAGATATCAAATTATAATTCAATAGATATCAGATTATAATTTAACAGATATCAGATTATAATGTAACAGATATCAGATTATAATTCAACAGATATCAGATTATAATTCAACAGATATCAGATTATAATGTAACAGATATCAGATTATAATTAAACAGATATCAGATTATAATTTAACAGATATCAGATTATAATGTAACATATATCAGATTATAATTCAACAGATATCAGATTATAATTTAACAGATATCAGATTATAATTTAACAGATATCAGATTATAATGTAACATATATCAGATAATAATTCAACAGATTTCAGATTATAATTCAACAGGTATCAGATTATAATGTAACATATATCAGATTATAATTCAACAGATAACAGATTATAATTCAACAGATATCAGATTATAATGTAACATATATCAGATTATAATTCAACAGATATCAGATTATAATTTAACAGATATCAGATTATAATTTAACAGATATCAGATTATAATTCAACAGATATCAGATTATAATTTAAACAATTAACATATATCTGATCATAATTTAAGAGCTACCTAATAAGCCCCCGAATGTTATTGGTCAGGTTTATTTTATTAATAATCTCACGTTAATCTTACGTGAAATTGTGCGCTCCTATATGATGTTTAACGAAAAATCCAGAAAATAAACATAAACCGGAAAGAATTTATCCTCCATGTTGTTGATTTTTTTTAGGTTGAGAGTAAAACCCACTACAGAACAAAACTGACCCTTCTTCTAAATATAATATATTTTCTTCAGAATATAATTTGACATTATTATACCAGTGTTAATTTCACGGAAAATTGATTATAATTTAACAAGTATCAGGGCTAATTTAACAGATATTAGATTATTTCGTCAGGCATTTAGTCTAGCATGTATATTCAGAAGACTTCCTATTTTTTAGGGTATATTTCTTCAGGCAATGTCAAGCATCGACATTGGAAAGCTCAATTTCTTAGGGTATGATTCGTCAGGTAATTACCCTAGCATGGATATTCAGAAGACTCTCAATTTCAAGGGGTATACTTCGTCAAGTAGCTACTTTATCATGTATATTTAGTAGACTCTCAATATTTTAGGGTATAATTCGTCTGGTAGTTAGTCTAGCATGGATTTTCAGTAGACTCTCGATTCCTAAGGGTATAATTCGTCTGGCAGTTAGCCTAGCAGCAATTCGTCCAGTATTAACTTTATCATGGACATTCAGTGGACTCACAATGTCTCAGGGTATAATTCGCCCAGTGGTAAGTTTGGATATGGACATTAATGACAAACTGACAAGCAACTATAACAAATCAGTGTCAACACGTAAACTGGACTTCCAACAGAGAACCATTGTCACCAATTTTGTGTTAAATATATTACTCTTAAGGTCTCACACACCTATACAGCATGTAATGTACTCATTAAATAGTTGTCTTTATGATAAGCAAGACTTTTAAGTTATAATTAAAGTTTCTATTGTTATGTAAATTAACTTACTGTATCTATCATTTTTATAAAATGCTCCTTCGTTATCTTTAGTGAATGCAAGACCAAATGGATTAAAGGAATAAGGCCGGCTTGCTTTGTTTAACAGTATAATTTCTAACATTTCTCCTACTTCAACTCTAACTGGTGGTCCAAGTATTCCCAAATGTTTCTCGTCTTTACAACGTTTTTTTCGTCTTTGAAATGATCCGTCTGTATACTCAATGAAAACTGCTTTAACAAAGCGGCCTCCAACAGCCCCATCGCTTGTGAAGAATCGTTCCTCTGTCCTAAATATATGTAATAGTTTTGACATTTATTACACTGTTACTTTCTAGAGGATGAATATAAAACTAATAATATGAATGGGTTGACATGATCTATATTTGATTAAGAACCAGATGTTTCATCTTGTTATTGGGAATGTTAAAACGTTGACTGCTTCATACTTAAAATATGTACACGATCAACGCTTTAACATCCCATAACATTACAAAACGAAAACAGCATTCAATTATTATAATAACATGTATGTATGCTACAACAATGACATAATAAGTTATATCAAGCTGTTGGTTTGTTTTCCTATGCATTGTCGTGACGTTGTCATGGCAATCACGTGCGGTCACGAATGTTGCATTTTATTGAGAATTATAATTTGATATTGAAACGCATCACGTTTGTTTTTAAACTTTTTTTTTATTTGAAGTATCATATAAGTATAATATAAACATGATATTATTGTTAATTTGTTATATAGTCATATCAATTAAAACATGATTTTTTGAAATACTAATGAAAATTGGCCTACTAGTATTGGGTTATTAAGTTGATCTACTACATAAATGTTTTTAGGATATTGACTTGATATTAACAAGCAATCTAGATTTAAATGTAATAGGATAATACATAGAAGTTGTGTCTGTAGCACACTAATGGCAACTCTGTAGCACACTAATGGCAACTCTGTAGCACACTAATGGCAACTCTGTAGCATACTAATGGCAACTCTTTTCAACTTTTGACTTGACATACGGATTCGGCACGATGTCAATGCACTATTATTATATACTTTTACAGAAGGTGTTTAACAGATACTTTAACATCCAATTGGCTTTCAGACAAATAATATGGTTACGTTTACATTGCATACTTAGGGTTGAGATCTCGCAAAACATGTTTAATCCCGACGCGTTTTTGCGCATGTACCAAGTCAGGAACCTCTGGCCATTGTTAGTCGTGTTTTTGTTTTTTTTTTAATAAATTTCGGTTCATTAATATTTTTCGGAGTTTAGTGTGACGTCCATTTTCTATGAATTAGTACACAATTTTGTTTAGAGGCCAGCTGAAGCCCGCCTCTGGGTGCGGGATTTCTCGCTGTGTTGAAAACCCATTGGTGGCCTTGAGCTGTTTTCTGCTCTTTGGTCGGGTTGGTTTCTCTTTGACACATTCCCCGTTTCCAATTTTATCATAATGTATGTATAAGCAACACAAGTATAGAATCATTGGGGTCACCCCGCTATTCCGACACCCATTAGCCCGACGCCCCATTAGTCCTACACCCTAATAGTCCGACACCGCATTAACCCGACACCCTTACGCCTCACGATTGTTGTCTTCCAATCAAAAGTACATAAAGTTAAGAATGCACATGCGGAAATAGTACGTAGCATTATGAAACATATAGAAATTCTTTATTTGACCAGTTATGAACCCTTGCGGGTTTTAAATTTCATACAATGATTACAATGATTTTTTTTTAACAACGAAATCATAAAATACAACATAATAGAGCAATGAATAGTCAGTGCATACTCATGAAAGAGAAAAGTATAGGTTACAATACACCATTAGATTTTATGGGCGCAGCCATTTTATGAGCATAACATGGTATTCAGAATTAATAGTATAGCTAATCCTGATTGGTTGATATGTGCGCCCGTTATTATTTGTTATTAGAGACTTCGTGCATTCTGCATTATACCAAAGGCCAAATAAATTATTTTCCTTAGCCCTAACGGAACTGAGATGTCTTTTAAACGCTAGGATGAGACACGTATTTTTATGTGCAAAATTGATAGGCATGGGAGATAAGTACAAATTACGCTAAGAAAAGCAACGCGAACCTATATTTTTTGGACCAAAAAATACTGTCCTAATAACTTTTCTTTAATTCTAGCAAGGTTTCGTTTAAAAAATCAACTTTCTAAAGTCTGTATCTCGAAAAAGGCTATCATTGTCGCCTATGGGGAAATTAATTGTTTATTTCAACCTATACAGCGTCGACATTTCTTTATCATAGTGCTCAAAAAGTGTCAAAAACAGTAATTTTACTTGATATTTGATGTGAAACCGTATTTTTTGGTGACAAATGAATTATTGATTAACTAGTTTTTAAGCTATAGTCTGTTTCATATTTGTATTGTGTTTTACCTTAGAAACAAGGGTGGGTTCGACTTTTGACTTACTGTGGAGAGAATATGTCGTTTTCTGAACTTCTGCTGATTTGTTTGAAAAAAGCACGTACACGTCTAGAGTTTGGATATACAAATCGATTTTTAAACATGACAATCTCGATCCAAATGCTGTTATCGAAATTACCAAATTCAGTGAAAATGTACAGAAATGACCCCCATTGAACATTGAAATGTTCACTCGAATGGCAGACTATAAAAATTAGAATAGGCATGACATTTTGTAGTTAACGAATAGTTTTCGATGTTTAAACACAAATATTTACACATTTTTCATATTTTGAAATGCTATAGTCTGTTTCAAAAATGTACTTTTATACGAAAATGGTTTCATTTAAAACTGTTGTTCAAAATTCACCGTAGTAGTTACATATTGGATCGGTTTTGGTATCAATATAATCAGTACTTGATGACATATAAAGAATCATTGGAGAAAGTGGACATTATCTTCAGGCCCTTTTTAGCAGTACCGCATTTACTCAAAAAATCAGAAATTTTTTTTTCACATTTTTTGACTGGGGTCACCTCTGATAAAAAATTGTGAAAATTCAGAGAGTAATGCCAGAACGTTTTGAAGATGATTTTTGTGTGGCATATATATTTGTGCATCTAACGAACTATGAATTGCATGATTCTAGAAAGTATTAAATACCGTATAGGTTACAATACACCATTAGATTTTATGGGCGCAGCCATTTTATGAGCATAACATGGTATTCAGAATTAATAGTATAGCTAATCCTGATTGGTTGATATGTGCGCCCGTTATTATTTGTTATTAGAGACTTCGTGCATTCTGCATTATACCAAAGGCCAAATAAATTATTTTCCTTAGCCCTAACGGAACTGAGATGTCTTTTAAACGCTAGGATGAGACACGTATTTTTATGTGCAAAATTGATAGGCATGGGAGATAAGTACAAATTACGCTAAGAAAAGCAACGCGAACCTATATTTTTTGGACCAAAAAATACTGTCCTAATAACTTTTCTTTAATTCTAGCAAGGTTTCGTTTAAAAAATCAACTTTCTAAAGTCTGTATCTCGAAAAAGGCTATCATTGTCGCCTATGGGGAAATTAATTGTTTATTTCAACCTTAACAGTGGAGACTATCAGTTAATATATAAGGATTATTTCCCTTTGAACAATATCTAATAAACTTTCAAGATGATGTTGTTCAGAGAAAAAGAGAAATTGATTTAATATAAGGGTAGTTTTCTCCCATGTACATGCAGCAACCAATTACAGAATATTTATGTATACAACATTTAAATAGCAAGAACTGCATTAGCGCCTCTGCAATTTTGACTGCAGTTTAACACATACGTAAAAGGCATTAACATATACATGTATAATACATACACATAGATAAGGTAATGTGTATTTAATAAAAGTTTTAATATATACAGATAAACTTAAAGAGACTTAGACATTGCACAAGGTCATGTTTTTCTCTGACTCTTAATGACGTATTTACATTAAATCCATTGGATGTTGTATGTGTACTGATTGATATTTTTTTAATCTTAGATACATGATTCTTTATCAGTTGTTATTAGCTTTGAACTAGCTGTCAGTAACTGCGAGTACTCTCAGATTTGTACTTAGTGTCTTTTTGTTGTGATGATGTATAAGTAACCGTCCACGTCTACTCTGTATTTATTGTAAGATGTATTTCTATTTGCATCCATCTAATGAGTTAAGCCTTATGTTGTACTGTTACACCACTGTCCCTTGTTAGGGGGAGGGTTGAGCGCTCGCAAACATGTTTAACCCCGCCACATTCTTTATGTGCCTGTCCCAAGTCAGGAGCCTGTAGTTCAGCGGTTGTCGTTGGTCCATGTCTGTCATATCTGTTTTTCGTAAATTGTTTTGTTATAAATTAGGCCGTTAGTTTTCTCAATTGAATTGTTTCATATTTTTCATGTCGGGGCCTTTTATAGCCTTTGTATGGGTTTTTCTGTATGTCGAAGGCCGTACGGTTGCCTTTAACTGCTTACATCCACTTCATTTGAACTTTGGTGGATAGTTGTCTCATTGACAATCATACCACATCTCCTTATTTTTATATTAGGCATTTACAGAATTTTTGGATCTCAATTCAAAACTATGTATGAGAAAATGACTTAGCCTTTGAATTACATATTTATCTTCAGTGGACATTTACCATACATATTTTTGATATATATCATAAAGTTGTCACATGTTTAGACGTGTATAATAAAATTAAAATTTGATGTGGCGTCATGGTAATTAACATTATCGTCCTATACGACAGACACAATAACTGATCTGAAAGGTACACCATCTACTTGTCACTATACATCATGTACTGTGTCACAACCCTAGATAAAGCCGAAGAAGAAAGGCATTACATCGACCACCGAAAGCTATATTTTTATGTAGCCTAGGATGTCGAGTGGTCTTTGGCGCTAGACACGATGCAGGCGGTGCAGGCGGTGCAGACGGTGTTGCCACGACGTCACAGAATCCCGCTGAGGGAAGAACAAAAATTGTAAAACAATGTGGTGTATATATTGGGTTTCGTTTTTTTTTTTTATTCTAAGATTAACTCATTATACAACAAAGAAATGGCAATGGTATTGATTTAAATTTGATTTTAAGATTACATAATTTATAAATTAAAAAAAATAATAAATTGAATAAAAGAAACATTTCTGTACAATTGTCTCATGCAAATTATAATTTTAGACGATTTTGGCTAGTCACACGTGCTTTAACATTCGAATCTCATGTACTACGTCTGGGTTACAGCTGGGCTTTACCCACAGTCCCAAGGTTACAATCCATCCATTACTGATGCTTTGGTACTAACAGTCCCGAGGTTACAATCAATCCGTTACTGATGCTTTGTTACTAGCAGTCCCGAGGTTACAATCCATCCGTTACTGATAATTTGGTACTAACAGTCCCGAGGTTACAATCCATTCGTAACTGATGCTTTGGTACTAACAGTCCCGAGATTACAATCCATCCGTTACTGATGCTTTGGTACTAACAGTCCCGGGGTTACAATCCATCCGTTACTGATGCTTTGGTACTAACAGTCCCGAGGTTACAATCAATCCGTTACTGATACTTTGGTACTAACAGTCTCGAGGTTACAATCCATCCGTTACTTATGTTTCTATACTAACAGTACCGAGATTACAACCAACCCGTTACTGATGCTTTTATACTAACAGTCTCGAGATTACAATCCACCCGTTACTGATGCTTCGATACTGACAATCTCGATGTTCCAATCCAACCGTAACAAATACTTTGATACTGACAGGTTGGGTTTACCATTCACCCGTTACCGCAGGTTCCTGAATTCGATACTGACATTCCTTAGGTAACCAGCTTCCTGTTTCAGCTGGGGTACTGACATTCCCGAAATTACAATCCACTTGTAACATCTGGAATTCTCACAGTCCAGAGTTTACCATGTACCCATTACCAGTGATTCGATATTGACAGTACCAATGTTGCAATTCACCTGCTGATAGTGATTTTGTACTGATAGTCCCGGGGTTACCATCCACTTTTTGCTAGGGACTTGGATCTGACAGTCCCTAAGTTACAACCCACCTGTTGTCAGTGACTTGGACCTGACAGTCCCTAAATTATCATCCACCTGTTGCCCGGGACTTGTAGCTAGTAGTCCCGAGGTTACAATCCACCTGTTGTCCGTGACTTGAAACTGACAGTCCCTAAGTTACAATCCACATGTTTCCAGTAAATTGGTACTGACAGTCCGGAGGCTACCATCCACCTGTTGCTCGGGACTTGTAACTAGTAGTCCCGAGGTTACAATCCACCTGTTGCCAGTGATTTGATACTGACAGTCCCGAGGTTGCCATCCACCTGTTGCCCGGGACTTGTAATCAGTAGTCCCGAGGTTACAATCCACCTATTGCCCGGGACTTGAAACTGACAATGCCGAAGTTACAATCCACCTGTTGTCAGTGATTTGGAACTGACAGTCCCGAGGTTACAATCCACCTGTTGCCCGGGACATGTAACTAGTAGTCCCGAGGTTACAATCCACCTGTTGCCCGTGACTTGGAACTGGCATTCCCTAAGTTACAATCCACCTGTTGCCAGTGATTTGGTACTGACAGTCCCGAGGCTAGCATCCACCTGTTACCCGGGACTTGTAACTAGTAGTTCCGAGGTTACAATCCACCTGTTGCAAGTGATTTGGAACTGACAGTCCCGAGGTTACAATCCACCTAGGCCTATTGTTAGTTAATTGATAATGACAGTCCCGAGGTAGCCATCGACATGCTACCAGTGATTCGATACTCACAGTCTCAAGGTTACCTTCCACCCGCTACCAGTGATTCGATACTCACAGTATCGAGGTTACCTTCCACCCGCTACCAGTGATTCAATACTCACAGTCTCGAGATTACTTTTCACCCGCTACCAGAGATTGAATACTGACAGTCCCGATATTACGCTTTAATTGATTCAATGTTTGACCTTTTTGTAAAAACCAATGTTCTTTATAGCGGTTTTGAATATGGTAATCCCAAGAACATGTAACGGATGCTTTATCCTATTCAATGTTTGACCGTATTTGTTCAAACCGGAGTTATCTATAGCTAATTCTCGGCAGATTGTTCCATAAAATGACACAAGGATATTTCTTGAATAAATTTCGGCATTTAAGGTGGTAAATCACTCTTTCATGTATACAAGTATAAGGAAATGCTAGGTGTACATTTTGTACTTCAACCCCTTTAATATATTAGAAACGAATGGAAGTAAATGTAAGGTATACGTCAATAAAAAAAAACTTTCTTTCGTTAAATCACTTTAGAGCGCAGAGATGATATACCTTAATTTTACAACAACGCAGACTTAGAAACTAGACTCATAATGTTCTATAAAATTGTACACCATATTGTCGCAGTACCATCAGAATTACTTGTACCAACAGACAATAGAACCCGGCAAATTCATCCACAAACTTACAGACATCTACTTACATCTAAAGACTGCTACAAATATTCATTTTTTCCTTTTACAATTACACAATGGAATTTACTACCTCCAAATGTAGTACTTTCCCCTACACTAAATATTTTTAGAGAACAGTTGACACCTACTGTTCTCTACAATATAGAACAGTAAACCTTAGTAGTTATGTAAATAGTTTTAACCACATGTCATGTTAGTATTTATTATTGGCACTATTCTTTTAAACATTTATTTATAACTATCCTACGCATGCGCAGCAGTTAGTAAACATAAAAAATCTGATGGGTTACTGGATATCGTAAGAAGAAGAAGATGATTATACATAATTTATTGTTACCAGATTGTGTGTAACGTACATTGAAGGAAGAACACCTCTACTTTGAAGACAATGTCAAAGACGTAGTTCAACTTTGCTATCCCTGTACATATCTACAAAAATTGTTTCCCCTCTCTAACTTTAAAACCCCTTAGAAGTCGGGATAATTATTCACCACTAATTGAAGGAACAGAAGAAAAACGTACGTTGATGATTATGCTAAAAAAGTTAGTTTAACTCAGACACCTTGTTCATATACTTGGAATTTTCATAATTGCATTACAATTTATCTATTCACACGAAGTGAAAAGTAAAATAACAAAAATACCGAACTCAAAGAAAATTCAAAACGGGAAGTCCTTTATCAAATGGCAAATTTAATAATAGCTCAAACACATCAACCGAATGGAAAACAACTGTCACATTTCTAACTTGGTACAGGCATTTCCTTATATAGGAAATGGTGGATTAAACCTGGTTTGTAGCTAGCTCAACATCTCACTTGTATGACAGTCGCATAGAATTCCATTATATTGGCAAAACAAACAGACATAAAAGGTAAATATGTCAAAAATTCTGGTACACCAGTCAAATTTTAAATTATAAGAAACAAAGGTTTTAACTCCCTCAGGTAAAGTTGATCTTAGATAAATTTGGCTATTTGTTAGGTCCATTTTGGTCATATAGCTCTTCAACTGTTTAGGTTATTATACATTCATAGCTTTCAAATATTCGTATTTAAACGTTCTTGATGAAGGCAAATCAAGAAAAGCTCTTCGGACGCATGATATTCATAAGATGTTGTTTTCATTTTTTCAACATTGCGAGATTTGGCCCTCTGTGATGGCCAAAATCACTATCCTTTAGTTTTAATTACATGTGTTGGATCTCTATGTAAAAATATGCTTAAATGATCTTGTTTACAATCCATACTTATGTCATCTATTATAATTTCCTATAGTATTAAGAAAAACTAATGCTCAATTGAATACAGCTATAAAACGTTTGTTTGTCCAAATATATAATATTAAACACCAAAATAGGCAACAACCTTCACCAGGTACGCTTACATTGATCTGTCATTTGAACCTTTACCAACTCTCGCCAATACTCTACCAGATGGTCTGTAATCCCATACAATTTCTTCTACAGCTATGAAATAACGACGTGTTCTTCTTATTGTAGTTTGCGGCAGTACTCCTGGTCTTGGCATCACATTTACAAAAGCTGCCATTCCATCTATTATTTCAAAAAAGTATGATTACTTCATTATTCATATTATTATATATCGTGTCCTCTTACTATAATATAATTATCTTATCAATCCAATTAGAACTCTTTAACCGTTTATCTGGTTTTTAATTTGACGTTTTTATACATATATCGATGTATACCATGTAACCGTTTGTCTGGTCTCTAATTTGACGTCTTAATAAATATATCGATGTATCATTCTATTTGACGTCTTTATACATATATCGATGTATCATTCTATTTGACGTCTTTATACATATATCGATGTATCATTCTATTTGACGTCTTTATACATATATCGATGTATCATTCTACTTAAAACTATAAATCGTATTACTGCTTTTGTAATAAGGAAGAAAAATTGAAATAATCACTTGACATGTTTTCAGATCGCCAAAATGAAATCTCGCGATATTTGCAATTATCTAAAATATGGCGTGCTCATTCTAATCCAGCTCGAGTTTATAAAGCAATCTTTAGTTTACCCAAGTTCATAGGGCGCTATATGAATTCAAATGAGTTCATTACTAAGTTATGCACTTCAAGTACATTTGGAATATGTGGTTTCCAACTGTTTTAAATCACAGCTCTGTAAATACATTTATCTTACCTCCTATACATGCACGTACATTTCTAGGAATATAATAGGTTAAAAGAAACCGTGTGGAGACCGTGTATATTTCATATGGGGTTAGTAGGCGTGGTTCATTTTAATACACTGTTAGTAGTGGTATTATATCCCCTTTTTTAAAAGAACACGACGTTGAGGAAAAAACTGAAACGTTTCGCACGGACAACAGACGAAGAAATTGATGGTAAACGATTGAAATAAATGCAGAAAACAAATTCAAAGCTTACAAGTTGTTATTGTTGGCATTCGTTTTTTGTATATACCGATGGAAGAAAGTTCTTTATATTAAAGACTTGGTCACTTTGATAGACCAATAGTCTTTATGTTAAGATAGTTGGTAATATAAATTCGTTACACAATCTGCTATTGACCTAATACGAAGCTCTCACCCCATAAAGAATTAACTGACCCCGTATACATCGTATTAGGTCACTATCACACTATGCAACTAATATTATTATTTTGAGATATAACCTTGAAATAAATCCGATTCGGCTATTTTATTACTGTAACAGTAATGGTTGCCTACTGTGTACATTCCTGATAACCGTATATATGACTCACGATTAAAATGGTAGTTGACTTTACAAAATATCAACCATCTACCAGGATTTCTGGCTGTCATGTATAACCCTTGAAACCATGCTATACCAAATACAACACCATGCGTTCTGAAAATGTTAAAAGATATTAGGTGGGTAACAAAATAAGCATAAACCAATGACGGACAGACACCGCAATGACTATTAGAAAAAGAAATGACGAAAGGAAATTTTAAAATTTCAAAGACGTAAATACAATACCCCAGGGAACGTTTAAGGAAAAAAGAAGTATTACATTTTCCCGGCTTTAGGTTGTCCCTTTGTGTACCCAAGGTGGTCGAAGGAAGTCAACTTAAGAGCGCTGTGATTGGATGTAAGGATACAATATATTTTTTATATTTATTTATGAATAACTGCAGTGTTTACATTTACAATATACATTTTGAAACACCTTGAAATATTTATTTTCTTGAGAATTATTCGAAAAGGCTTCCAAGTTTTCATAAATTTGATGTAAAATGACGGTGGGCATGGATACCATAAACAAGCTCCGTTGGAAGATGGTCATGATACCATTTGACTTCAATTTCTAAAACAGAATAATATAATACGTATATCACACATAACTGTTTTGTCCAGGTTTTTATTATAAAAAGTGGTAAATTTAGAAAATGTTAGTATTGTCTCCTATGGAAGAATGAATACTACCGCTTTCCCTATTAAGAGATTCCTACACAATTGAAGGAAATAATGATGATACCTAAGGGAACGTCTAGTAGCGGTTCTGACACATTGGAAGTAAATAAAGTACCACAGAAAGTCAAATGATTCCTAAGGGAACGTCTAGTAGCGGTTCTGACACATTGGAAGTAAATAAAATACCACAGAAAGTCACATGCTTCCTAAGTGAAAGTCCAGTAGCGGTTCTGACACATTGGAAGTAAATAAAATACCACAGAAAGTCACATGCTACCTAAGTGAAAGTCCATTCGCGGTTCTGACACATTGGAAGTAAATAAAATACCACAGAAAGTCACATGCTACCTAAGTGAAAGTCCAGTAGCGGTTCTGACACATTGGAAGTAAATAAAATACCACAGAAAGTCAAATGATACGTAAGTGAACGTCCAGTAGCGGTTCTGACACCATGGAAGTAAATGAAGTACCACTGAAAGTCACATGCTACCTAAGTGAAAGTCCAGTAGCGGTTCTGACACATTGGAAGTAAATAAAGTACCACAGAAAGTCAAATGATACCTTATAGTATGTGAACGTCCAGTAGCGGTTCTGACACCATGGAAGTAAATGAAGTACCACAGAAAGTCACATGATAACTAAGTGAAAGTCCAGTAGCGGTTCTGACACATTGAAAGTAAATTAAGTACCACAGAAATATAGATATGCAATTATTTCCTAAGGGAACGTCTTGTAGCGGTTCCGATTCAGTGGAAGTCATAACTTCCACTTGAAACGTTAATGATACCCGCAGGGAACGTCTTGTAGTGATTCCGACACAGTGAAAATTAATCACACTATATCAAGTCAAATGATACCCTAAGGGAACTTACAGTAGCTGCCGGTGTTTGTTATTGAAAATAAACAATTGTCTTCAAAATATGGCACGTTCAGAATCGTCACAAAGTTGTAAACCAATTAATAGACTATTAAAGAGAAATCTTATTTTCATTTTCTGCAATTGGTTCGGTATTTGTTAGACTATCATTATAAAAAAAACTATATATAAAAGTAACAGACCTTGTATGCTTAAACGTAAATGATTGTCCTTGTACACCAAAGACATGCAGTCCCAAGTTTAATCCCATGGCATAAAATGCTACCTTCTCTCCGTCATATACAGGGAAGTCAGGCAAATTTCCATAAATATACCCGTTTATCTAGAAAAATGAAAACGTTTTAAAGACTCGCTGATCGTTACAAATGATTTTAGACAAATCGAGTCACTTACATATCTTGCATATGCCATAATAATCAAACCAATGTATATATCTAGGCTCTGAGTTGTGAGACTGATCTCAAAATTATTATTTTTCATAATTAATAAAAAAAAAAGAGGCTCCATTGAGGAGTTACACAAACAACCGAAAAAATACAAACCATTAATAATATCATAAATAAATTGAACAATGATAATAACAATACTTTAAGAATAATGTTGAAAAATGAGTTTAACATTGAATATGTTTTTAACTGAGGCTAATATTTCGCAAAGTTAATTCTTAACACATAATCATTCTTTTTATTATGTACATGTACGTACTGACTGTCAAGACTAATCAAAACAAGTATGAACATTTATCTCAAAATATCCACCTCTTCAATAATAGCATGAAACCGAAATAAAATTAAATTTATTAAATTATCAAAAGGTTTCACAAACCATTTTTTTTTATTAAGGATGAGACAATTGAATGTTTGCGCTTTGGGAATGCAAACGACAATTGCGTTCGGCTCCGCCTACTCACGTGAACATGTACATATAATGTATCAACTGACAGATCAAAAGCATTCCAATTGTGGTACCACGTCTTTCCCGAAATAATTTATTTTAACCATTATATGCCAATTAAAGTATTTAAATCACCGAAGAATATTTTGAAATTTTTGACATGTTTGCTGTTTCCATGGTAATGGCGGCTATTTTGAAAATTCCAAAGACAGGTGCCACTTTGGGACATGCCATGCTACATATCCATAAAGTTTTATTGGGTTTGATCCGATATTCTGTAAGGAAATGCAGCTTTCATGTATTTTCCCTTTAGGTTAATGTTAAACTTTCGCCCGTTTCCATGACAATAGCGGCCATTTTGAAATTTCTAAATATTCTTTGCACATCTAGGCATATCAGGTAACACTTCCATAAAGTTTCATCCAGTTGGGTCTTATAATAAAATATTTAGAATTTAGAATTTATTTTTTTTCGCATTTTAGCAGTTTCCATGGCAACGGTAGCCATCTTGAAAATGCCATACCCCGATTGCAAATCTGCACTTGCTGGTTAACATTGTGGTGTAGTTCCATTACAATTGCTTCATCCAATTCCAAGATATAAGCTAGACAAAAAAAGTGGAAGAAAAAAAATAACAAGAAAAAAAGAAATGAACAATAACACTATGTCACCCCAACTCCGTTGAGGGTGCCATAATTATTATAAAAGGATATACAAACTCATCTTATCAAAATTCCATAACCACGTTTCATATATAATTGATACGTATTAATATGTTATTCTGTTCTTCGAAACTTACCGTATACATTAACGTGTCCGAAATGAAGGGCACGTTTTTCTGGTCGAAATGTTCTCGACAGCGTTGTGGATTTCGACATAGATTTAAGCTCTGGTCTATCAACCAACTGTTAGTTTCATTGATGGTATCAGCATACAGAACAAACTCTCTGTCAACATCCTTCCTAGAGTTATCTGGATTCAATGTTCCTGTCATGTATATGTTATGTGTTAATGTTTTACTCAATCATCACTGTAGTAATTTCACTGGTGTTAAACTGATAATTGTAACTGGAATTACGACGATCCCAATATGGCGACGGCAGAAATAGGTAAAATCTTTTCAGTCATTTTTCTCAAATGTAGCACGTTGTTGTCAAGAGTTACTCAGCTGCAAGGTTTTTCTATACCATTACATCATATTTGAATCGTAACGGTGCACTATAATTGTCTAAGCGCTCAGAAAATTGCCGTCGAAAAATTCGGGATGATAATCGTAATTCGATGGCATTTTTCTTGTTTGATAATCGTAATTTCTTTATGGGATAATAGTAACTGAAAAATGATAAATGTGTCTTCCAGCTTGTCAATGGTATTTTGTGTGTAAAAACGGCAATATCCAGTTAAACGATGACATTAACGCGCAAAATAAAAAATAATGAAGCAACTTACATGTTAATATTTAGGACAAATTTACTTACATGTAAATATATCTCGATTTATAATTGACAACAATATATATAACCTTTTAGCATTATCCCATATCCCAAAAGTGCAATCCTTTCAAATGAAAGTCGCGTATACCACATTTCAATATGCCATATGTTTTGCCTCAAATATTGAATATATCCAATCGACTTTTAAATCAATAAAACGGCAAGTTAACCTCCCCTATCTCAATATTCTCTATACCACGGGGGTGACTGTGGGTTACTTCCTATATAAATATATAAGTTATAACATGGATCAGATTTTTGGTCTTCGACAATACATGAAAGGGGATATTTTTTTTTTTATTTCAGCAGCACGCCAGAAGTGACACCACCCCTTCTCCCGTGCCTTATACAGACCTCATTTATCATAAGATCGCTGTCAGGTTTGAGTTCCCTGTTGTTTATATTCGGGGATGGGTCCACAAATTATGTAAAAAGGAAATTGGGGGGGGGAACGTTTATACTAAATTTCTGCGAGAAATGAAAATTTTTTTCCATCAGTTACTTAACTGCATTATTGGATTTAACAGTTGATACTTTGATTGGTGGATATGAGTTTTCATTTTGCCCTTTTCCTTATATTTCAATAGAAATACATATAGTTTAATTTTGGAGTGAAATGTATCCCGGTTAAAATAGCCGTTCATATTTTTCACTTTTGTTCTGTTTTACACTGATATTTTATATGATTTTTAAAATTGAATTCAAATATTTTGATTAAATACCCATTATTTTATGACGTTTCTTTAAACAGGGTGGATGGTAAAGGATCTGGAATAGTTACCAGTTTATTGTTACTATTGTTTATTGTTACTTGTGTTTTTTGTTCCTTGTGTTTATTGTTCCTTGTGTTTATTGTTACTTGTGTTTATTGTTCCTTGTGTTTATTGTTCCATGTGTTTATTGTTACTTGTGTTTATTGTTTTTATTAGCCTTAACTGAATGGCGCGTATAGTCTTGCGAAGCATTTGAAGGACTGAAAAAAACCACAAATATATATTATATATATATGTGTTTTGGTCCTCAGAAGGCATAATATATAGATCATCACGGTCGAAACTGGTTTAATTACAAATACTTTAATAGATAATCAAACAAATATTTTGTGCTTCAGAAAAAAGCATGACAATTAATTATGAAAGGCTAATTTTTGTTTTTATTTGATAGAAAAGTACTAAGTATATGGTAATCATGCAAGTACAAAAATGTTCTTTGTTACCTTCAATATTTTTTCTCTACAATAACTTCCATGCATATGTATGCAGCATATTTTTCATATACCAAGTATTTATGATTTCTTGAATCAGTTTGTTTCTGATATGGCGGAATATGCGCTATGATTTCTTAAAGTTGCAGTTATTCTTTGAATAAATATAGCTTGTAAGGTAATTCAAGGTCACATCAATTTGATTTCTTGATCTTCGGGCTTTTGGCCAAACTATTAAAGAACACAAATCCATGTTTGCCAATGAACTCCACGTCACCATGTGCTTAACTCCATAACACACAAAGCATTCCAACTTTTCTTTACTCTTATATTATCATTAAAAGTTTTAAGGATGTCATATTATTAGAATGCCAAACTAAATTGGTGTTGTTAAAATTTATAGTTATTTTCTGAGATATCGAAATGTCAGTGACGGTCATGAAGTAGCTAAGCAATTTTTATAGTATTTATGGGCTATACAATTTTTTACACATTCAAAAAGGTGTGACATTTGTTTTCAAGTCCGTATTTAAATAGAAGACCAAACAATATTTCTTTTTAACTCTAAACATGAAGAGATCATGATGACATTTTTAAAATTTTCTCCCATATTTTGTGACGGTCCTAGTTCCTGGAGTTTTCAGTATTTTAACATAGTTCGTGTTTCCCCATTTACAAATTTATTGAAGCTGGTCCCCCTTCCAATTTTATGATATATACTAGTATGTAGCTGTTTACATTAGAACTGTTCATCATATATGCACAAAAAGAAATGTCATAAGATGTGGGAACGTTTTCGTGATTAATTCATCACCATATTTTCATCATATGCTATCAGATAGACGTTTTTCGTGTCAATCAGTTACGATTATCTTCTTATTTATTGATACCGAAATTACGATTATCATTTTTGCGAGTAACGATTATCATCCCGATTTTTTCGACGGCAATTTTCTAAGCGCTTAGACAATTATAGTGCACCGTTACGATTCAAATATGATGTACATGTAATGGTATAGAAAAACCTTGCAGCTGAGTAACTCTTGACAACAACGTGCTATATTTGAGAAAAATGACTGAAAAGATTTTACTTATTTCTGCCGTCGCCATATTGGGATCGTCGTATATAATTCCAGTTACGATTATCAGTTTAACACCAGTGAATTTGAAACTAAAGAATTTCAAAGGTAAAAGGTTAACCGCATGTTTATCAGTATTGATTATTAACGTGAAGCGTCAAGGACATTTGGTATTCACAGCGATTAAACACTAAAATAAATTGGCAAGAACGTTTGTATCCACAGAGGTCGTTCACTAGTGTGAATTGCCAATAACGTTTGGTATCCACATATGTTGTACATTAGTGTGAAGTGCCAAGTGCGTTTGGTATCCGCAGAGGTTGTACACTAATGTGAATTGCAAAGAACGTTTGGTATCCACAGAGGTTGTACATTAGTGTTAATTGTCAAGAACGTTTGGTATATACAGAGGCTGTACACTAGTGTGAAGTGCCAAAAGCGTTTAGTATCCACAGAGGTTGTACACTAGTGTGAAGTGCCAAGCACATTTTGGTATACACAGAGATGGTACACTAGTGTGAAGTGCCAAGAACGTTTGGTATATACAGAGGTTGTACACTAGTGTGAAGTGCCAAAAGTGTTTGGAATATACAGAGGTATTACACTTGTGTGAAGTGCCCAGAACGTTTGGTATATGCAAATATGTACACTAGTGTGAAGTGCTCAAAACGTTTGGTATACACAGAGGTGGTACATTAGTATGAATTGCCAAGGACGTTTGGTATTCACAGAGGTTGTACACTAGTGTGAAGTGCCAAGGGCTATTGGTATTCACAGAAATTGTACACTAGTGTGAAGTGCCAAGAACGTTTGGTATCCACATATGTTGTACATTAGTGTGAAGTGCCAAGAGCGTTTGGTATCCGCAGAGGTTGTACACTAATGTGAATTGCAAAGAACGTTTGGTATCCACAGAGGTTGTACATTAGTGTTAATTGTCAAGAACGTTTGGTATATACAGAGGTTGTACACTAGTGTGAAGTGCCAAAAGCGTTTGGTATCCACAGAGGTTGTACACTAGTGTGAAGTGCCAAAAGTGTTTGGAATATACAGAGGTATTACACTTGTGTGAAGTGCCCAGAACGTTTGGTATATGCAGATATGTACACTAGTGTGAAGTGCTCAAAACGTTTGGTATACACAGAGGTGGTACATTAGTATGAATTGCCAAGGACGTTTGGTATTCACAGAGGTTGTACACTAGTGTGAAGTGCCAAGGGCAATTGGTATTCACAGAAATTGTACACTAGTGTGAAGTGCCAAGAACGTTTGGTATCCACATATGTTGTACATTAGTGTGAAGTGCCAAGAGCGTTTGGTATCCGCAGAGGTTGTACACTAATGTGAATTGCAAAGAACGTTTGGTATCCACAGAGGTTGTACATTAGTGTTAATTGTCAAGAACGTTTGGTATATACAGAGGTTGTACACTAGTGTGAAGTGCCAAAAGCGTTTGGTATCCACAGAGGTTGTACACTAGTGTGAAGTGCCAAGCACATTTTGGTATACACAGAGATGGTACACTAGTGTGAAGTGCCAAGAACGTTTGGTATATACAGAGGTTGTACACTAGTGTGAAGTGCCAAAAGTGTTTGGAATATACAGAGGTATTACACTTGTGTGAAGTGCCCAGAACGTTTGGTATATGCAGATATGTACACTAGTGTGAAGTGCTCAAAACGTTTGGTATACACAGAGGTGGTACATAAGAATTAATTGCCAAGGACGTTTGGTATTCACAGAGGTTGTACACTAGTGTGAAGTGCCAAGAGCGTTTGGTATATACAGAGGTTGACACTAAATGAAGTGCCAAGAACGTTTGGTATATACAGAGGTTGTACACTTGTGTTAAGTGCCCAAGTATCCACAGAGATTGTCCACTTGTGTGATATGCCAAGAACGTTTGGTATATACAGACTTTGAGGTTTACACTAGTGTGAAGTGCCCAGAACGTTTGGTATATACAGAGGTTGACACTTAATGAAGTGCCAAGAACGTTTGGTATATACAGAGGTTGTACACTTGTGTGAAGTGCCCAGAACGTTTGGTATCCACAGAGGTTGTCCACTAGTGTGATATGCCAAGAACGTTTGGTATATACAGACTCTGAGGTTTAAACTAGCGTGAAGTGCCCAGAACGTTTTGCATCCACAGAGATGTACACTAGTGTGAGGTGCCAAGATTGTTTGGTATGTACAGAAGTTGTACAGT